TCATGATTGATAATACAATCATACTTAGTATTAAAAAAAGGTGTTAGCACAATATTTTATAAGGCCGTTATTCGCATTATAATGTACATTAGAACTAGCTATAAATTCATAGTATATCAAATGCTTTTTCATAATTAAAATAGTATACATTTCCTTTGAATGCTGTAATTTCCTGCTAAGAATCATTATTTTTGCTGTCTCGGTGATTTATGTAAAAACTTTTAGACACTATTAACCATTACTGGATGAATAGTCTCATCAGGGGTTCTTATTTCTTATTGCTATTACTCAACCCTTAAATTTAAAACATCTGGGGTTATCAATAAATTATACCTATTCAAAAATAGGTTCCAGTATTTACAAATATCATTAAAAATATGTTTATGTATTTATATATAATGTAATAAATATATTTATGTATACAGGGGTGAATTGGATCTAACTCTATTAACTATTTATCCAATAACTATTTTGCCATAATTTATTTTAAAGTTTTTGCATGCTAAGACCGCGATTAAGGTACATTTTTATTTTTTGTCATTAAGTAAATAAATAAGATAATAGTATTCAGTGAGAGTGGGTAACATCCCTTACTGGTGTATTTACACTATGCCCGCGCTACAAACCCACTGAATGTATTAAAATTATTGTAATTCAATAAGTACTTTGATATTTTCTTCAGCTGAACACCATATTACTAATCTATACGGAAGTGTATGGGATTCGAATGATAAGTGCGCAATGGCCTTGTGGTAAAGTTTGTCTCTAGTGAGTGTTGTCGTAGGACACGGTATCCAATCCAACACCATGTTTCTTTCATGACACATTCTTTCAAATGATTTCCGGTACATTTTCCATGACCGAGCATCAGTACCTGGCGGCCTTGTCAACTTATTCTAAAGTTGTTATCGATTTCACTTTTTAATAAGAAAAAGACTAAAAAGTGGCTATTTTAAAATTTCAAAAAAAAAAAAATTATAACGTAATGATAAATGGATTGAAAGTTAACATTTGTTCATTAGATCTGGTTCATCCCCTGCATGCATTAGAACATTGGTGAAAATAAGTTATCATGAAATTAAATATATTATAAACATCAACATATTAGTAAAACTCAGACATAATCCGCGGGGTAAAACAAGGACGTGAAGCAGCTATCAGAAAAATTATACTCGATTATTTTTTCAAAGAATTATTACACTTAATAATTAAACCGATTGAGTTTTTTGACAGACAAAGAATATTCAGAACTTGTGCTAGGAACTTTTAAAAACTACATTCCGTTTGATATAATTAAACTTCAAAAGTTTATAAATGTATTACACATAAAATATTTAAATATTGAATCAAAATAAGTTATAACCATTAAAATTATATTTTTATTCGTTTTTGGAAAACATTAACAATGTAGAAAATCTGAGTTATTTTCATATTAAGTTTACTAAAATAATGATATTATATGAGTTTATAGCAAATACAAATTTTGTAAATTTTAAAACGTAGACTACATAGACACAACTAGCTATTTTATCTTAATGTTTTTAGTGGAAGAAAATGCATAGATTGTAACAAAGAAAGAAAATTTATTTACCTCTTTCATAACTTTTCTATTATAGGGTTATATTTACAAGAGAAATTAATGAAAAAAAATAGTTGCGTCTATAAGGAGTTCAGATTGTTGTTCGAGGAATGTTAAAGAACTGGTTTTCGTATAAAATCTATACATTTTTACAAAATATAGACAAACATTACCAAAATTTATAAAGAATTAAGAAGAATATTATTAACATGTATTCGTCTTTTGCAAATGATAACTTTGATCTTATTTAATAAGGCGTTCATAATTAAGCACTTGTTTCTGTAATATGGGAAATATGTCAGAAACATTTGTTAGAACAGTTTCCAGATTACACTTTACTATACTAGGTATAGTGAAAATACATATATATCAAACGACATGCCAACAACTGCAAAATATTATTACGTTTATAACCAAGATAGACCATTTTAGAAATTTAGTTTGAGATATATTTCGGAAAATATTATTTGGTTAAATAATTATCTATTAATATATCAATGAATCGTTTTATTTGTATATCATAAATCATCATCAATGCTTGGTAAACATTTTTTTCTTTAAACCAACCACAAAATGGAAGATAGGGACAAATCTCAATCATCCGAGTAATGTAAATATCGGGTTTATCATTGCTGTTTTAAGTTAAAGAAATTTTATTTCATATAAAACATTGTTTTATTATATACTCAATATTTAAAAACAAAATATGGATTAATTCACTTTCAACTGCAATACAATTAATATTTATATATATATATATAATATAATATTTATATATATATATATATATATATATATTATAATATTTATAATATATGTATACATTTATTTTATGTATTGTGTTCTATTTGAATTTAACCATTCAAGTTATTGAGTTTAGTTTAGAATTGTAGACATGATACTACTCAAAATTCTGTTAGCCTACGTTGTATTAAATTTGCTGATATTGAACAACGTTACTACAACGAAATCAAACTCCAATTGCAAATACTTTTTATTGGACCTGAATATAACCATTTTGAAAATTTCAAGATCTATACATTTTTATATTAACTACAAAGCATTTTTCTTTATCTAGTAAAATTAAATTTTTATTGTCATATTTTATACAAAAAAAGGTTCGCGTCGTTTAAAAAGTTACAAAATATGAAAACAGGTATTATGGTATAAACATCAGAGTTCTTCCATTTGGTCATAAACTTATTTAATCTTTGTTCCTTTTTATATTTAAAATTTTTTTTGTTGGCAAAGTGATCTAAAAAATGGATAATACCTCAATTTTTGTTTTTGAAAAGTTTTGTTTGAAAACAATTATAACGTTTGTATGGATTACTATCTATTGATTTTTTTTTATGACATATTTGAAAAAAAAGAAATATCACAGTTAAAAAAGAATTCACATATTATTATTATTTTTTTACAAAAGAAATAGTTCGAAAAAACATTATTTACGTGCTATAGAAGTTAGCACCTTAGTTTAATATTTAAACTCTATGAGACAATAAAAATAGATTTTTTTTACTCTTTAAGTTTTTAAAATACAATGAATACGTTTACAGTATAAAATATAACACACGCTTTTGTGTCAACGCTAACAACGTTTTACTCCTGTCATTCAATATTATAGTCTAATAATTGAGCTAAACTTTTTAAAGTTTTGATTTTTTCAGTTGGAAATTGTAAATAGGTTTAATAATTTGTCTGAAAATTTTCATTTTATAATAAAATAAAACTTTTTTGAATAAAATAGAATATTTTACATACATTTTAATTATTTATATGTATAAATTATCAAAATTATTCTAATAAAATTAAGAATCAAATATTATGAAAGATTATCTCAACACTTCTTCAGCATTTTTTCATAATAAGAAACACAAATTATTGACTAATAGACTAAGAACCAAAACTAGACTATTATTTATACTCTCATTTGCTTATAAATAGTTTGATTTGATAACTGTTTCAACAAATTGAATTTAATTATTTAAATTTTAGCATAAGTAAATCAGTAACCATTCATTCATATGAGAAACCATTAATTTAATTATTACAGACAATATTTCAAACATTTTGATAAATTAAAAAAAGTAACACGTTTACTATAATATTTTTTCATTTATAGTTTTATTTATTTATTTAACTGTTACTGATTAATAAGATAAAATAATAGCTTTTAAGAAGTTATTGTATTATATTGAAACTTTTAAGTAAAATTATAGTTAAAAAATATACTTAATTAAACATTTATAAAGTACCTAAGATATTACACATTTGAATGTAATAAGTATACGTTTTCTTTTTACAATTTTATTTGTATTTTATTTAATAATAATATTTTTTGTAATAATGTTATCCATGGCTTCGTTACGGTATTATTATGTTTTCAAATAGTAATTAATTTCCTTAACATAGTTTGTTAGAAATGTATTACTTAAATAATAGAATATTCAATTTAAGTTTTAATTCACGAAGGTGATAGTAGAAACTGTAAACAGTTGGTTCAATGATCAGAATAGTTTCAAAGGAATTGTAAATTTCATAGTGAGAAAGAAAAAAAAAACGTAATTTTATACCACTCTCTTGATAATAAAAAAATAAAACGGATGTAAATGATATCGTGAAATTATAAAAAAAAATGAAATCTATTTATACATATAAAAACAATGGTCTTTATATTTGTATAACACCCTGGGGTGTGGCTATTGAATAGGTAATTTTATTGAAAAAGGTATTTTAGGAAATTGGAGTTTAATCAGAAGTGAAAATAGCGTTGGAAGACAAAAATAATTGAACAAGACTTATAAAAAAATCTATCAAGCAGACAATAAAGGAAATGTCAATATAAAAGTAACAAAGTCTTGAACATCTAAAAAAAAAAGTACATTAAACGATGTGTTGTGAATGAACAATAATGATAAGAAATGCTTCACTAGGAACTAACTAAAAATAGAAAATATTTTTCTAATAGAACATTTAAATCGTTTTATCGAAATAACTGAATAGGCAAATAAGTTAAATACTATTTAAAAATAAATCAATTTAAAGTAAACTATTTTTTGAATAACTTATTGAACTCAACCATAATTTTGAAATTTATGTTATTTACAATAGTGATAGTTATATTATAAATACTATACTTTTCACAAACAATATATTATTTAATATATAACAGGTATAATTTATTAGGTTGGTAAATTGGACGATTGTTTATTAAGCTAACAAAAAACTCTTTTTTTATGTATTAAATTAATAGTGGTAATAGAACATCTTATTTTATCGCTGAATAATAATTAATTTTATTAAATTGGCATACTAAAAAATATTTTGGTTTATTAAGGGTAAAAACAAACAAATTATATACAAGATTATTCAATTAAACTGAAAGAAATATGCTTAATCACATAAATAAAAAAAAATGTTTTAAAAAAAACAACTATTTTTATTATTTTAAAACAATTATAATTTGATTTATCCTTACAATTGTTATGTACAAATTAAAATACAAAAAATTTTATTTAAGAATAAAATGTAAAACGCATATGTTATTTAAAAATACCAACAAAATGTTTGTCATATTTATGTTAGGTTTAAATTCTACAAATGGTAGAAATACAATTTATTTGAATCATAAACAAAATAATAATTGTTTATACATTCGATGTATTTTTTTATTCGTCGTACAAGATTTAAGCAATTTAAAAAAGTCAATCATACGTACTAAGGCTTTTGTGATACATCTTAGTATTCTTTTCGAAATCCTATTTGGAATTCCTTTCTATAATTGTTTTGATGTTGTATTGGATATTCGACCTTGTGTGGTAGTGGGACAAGAGGTACTGGGTATATTCGATAATCTTTTGGGTCCTCGTTATAAGTCTCTTTTGAAAACTCTCTTTGATATTCGATCGGCAATTGTTTTTGCACAACTGTCACCGGAAGGGGGGGATTGTAATACCCTTGCATCCCTTGTTTGTGATTCTCTTGATGGTGGTGATTTTGATATCCGGTCACGAGTTCATCGTTGTAAGCATTTCCATAATCATATCCACCATATTTTTGTCCAAAATAATTTATTTTTCGTAATAGTTTGTCAATGATTTTTTGTCGGTGATAAGCACACTTTTCAGGGTGGTGTTTACAATGATGTCTCTTTATCCGGTGAATAACTCCTTCCAACTCAATTTCCGAGGGCAACCAATTCATTACATTATTAACGACTTTCTCACCAACAGTGTCAACTATACTTTCTGATAACATTTCTTCTTCCTCGAATGACATCGATTCGTCGTTTTGTATGTCCAAGTTATTTTGTCTAATCAAAATAAGAACTTTAAAAAATATCAAAATAAAATAGACATACACAGGAACACAAAATATATAATATAAGCGTACTGCGGTCTTTAATTTATTATGAACACATTAGGTTAATCAAAAATAATTCGATATTGCTAAATAAATAATGGCTAGTAAAAACTCGTATTTATGACAAAAGAACAATAAAAATAATCGTTTCAATTCTGAAAGGACGTATTTTTATTTTTCAATACTTTTCTGAAATATGCTCTCAAACTAAACTCGTACATGAAGCTACCCAAACATAACAAAAGAAGATTTTACAGTTTAAGCTTATTAATAAAATACATACATTTATTTAAAAATAACAAAGTTAACTAAAGATTCAAGTTACAAAGAAAAATAGTTGTGAATTTCTGTTCCCACAAAAAGTAAAAGTACATTTTATCGTTAAAAAAGTATTGCGTAATAATATCAATGAGTCATGCCGTATAGCAAACTTTTAAAGAGAGTATTTGGTGTGAACCATCAATTATTTTTTTTACAACCTTATACTTAGAGTATTAAGTTCAATGCGTATATCACAAAAATATTTAAGTGAAATCCCTTGAAAGTTATTTAAATAAATAAGCTACAATTACTTTTTTAAATTTGAATTGTTAAATATTTTTTTTAATAAAGCTATTGAAAGTGAATTTTTTTACAGTAAGAAAACAAATTTTAATTATTCTATCATTCGTTATACAGGTATAACAACATTTTATTTTTAAATACGAATATGTAGGGCTAGCTATTAATGAAAATTTATTCATTGCTTTAACACGAACAATATTCAGCGATATTAATGTCAAAAACACAGAAGCCAAACATGATTAGTTTAACGGAAGAATACACACATAATTTAAATAATACTATTATTATTCATTTTTATCGTAGCATATTTGTTATAGATGGTTTCTGTAATGACTTCTATAAATCAAAAAATAAACAATAAAAAATATAGAAAATTTTTCATACATTTTGGAAGAAATTATATTTATCTTATGGAGCTAAATATTTTAAAAATGTTTGGTTAAAATTACAACGCATTTTACATTAAGACAACAAAATGATTTTTCTGCGTTAGTGATGGAAAAATATAGGAATGAATTAAACCTATTTATGTGCCACATATTTTTTTTTCAATTTTTAAGGAGATTATAGAATCTAATACTTTTATACAGAGTGGAACATATCTAACTGATAACGCTTATAACTTTTGATGCAATATTTCACTATAGTTTTTTTAAACAATTTTTTCATTCTTAATTGCGTAAAAAACATATTTTAAAATATTATTTTTTTAATAATAAAAAGTATATATATATATATATTCATATGTGTTCCATGCTGTATATAATTTTTAATTTATTTTTACAAATCTTCAAAATAATTAATTTTTAAGAACTTTCCTTACAATAAGCTTAATTTTATTTGATATTAATTTTAGGACAAATACTCTTCGAGATACTTAGTGTTTTAATACACAGAATGGATATAGAACGAAGGAGTGAACAAAACGTACTAGTATAGATTAATCATACATACTCCACCGGCGCTACAACCCCCTCCTAATTTGTGTATTAAAATGATTTTAGCTCATAAGTACTTATCGTAAAGTTGTTATCGTCCCAAAAAATTTTTTCATATCAATAGAGCTAAAAATAGTTATTTTAAGTTTCGAAAAAATAAAAATAATTTTTATTATTATTACATGAACAATAAAAACTATGCTTATAACGTAATCTAAGAACGCAAAAGTTGTTGAAAAAAGTTATAGCAAAATGATAATTGAATCAAAAGTTAACAGTTAGATTTGGTTCACTCTCTTTGTATATAAATTATAAAATACTTTCTGAACATATTCTATCACTTTAAATTATAATAAGTGTCAAGCGTATTTTGTTTATTTTCAACATTTATTTCATTTATATTAAAATATAAAATAGAATTATCAAATATACACATAAAGCCTTAATGTATGTTAATAAATACATAAATACATCAATACATAAGTTACACGCAACCAAACGTTAATTAAATTAAATAATAATTATCTACGGATTATTGTTGACCAAGTTCTGTCTTCTACTAATAGTATTAGAATTAGTCGAATTTGGATTTTTTGGACAACATTTTACATTGTATGCTCGACATGGTCTTGTATTACCAGACTTGTTTCCCGCGTTTTTGCAAAATTCGTCAAACGAACATATCCCTTCAGAGCCATCATCTAATTTACACGTTTCACCTGTTTACAAATAATTATTTAAAACTATTTTATTGACTATCTATAATAAAAATACATTTGGAAATGCCGACAGAAAGACTATGCTACTCTTACAACAAATGAATTAAGTTTAAAAGTTCAAACAATTAGGAGGAGAATTGAGTTTGTTGAATGTGGTCAACAGGGGAAAGATAAGGTTCACATTTTTGCGTGATTTTTGATAAACCGGAGGACATACCGTTTGATTTTACAAAACTACATCTACTAGTGAGATATCACTCGAATCAAGATAATGATGAGTCATGCATATTAATTAAATAAAATTTTTGGATGTATAAACTATAACTTTAAAGCATTTAGAAACATGATTCATCAACAAAATTAAGCCTTTTCAAACTCGTGTCGAAATTAAAAGTTACGGGGTATGTGTATATTTTCGTCGCTGGGTTGAAAATATATGGTTAAGTTTATTGATAATTTTATAGATAATAGAATAAAAAACCATGATTTTGTATGATTTTATACATTTGTTACAATTGAAACTAAGGAAGGGTTACAAAATTTAAATCAAGTACAACAAAAAAACGTATTTCCAAAATAAAAAGAAATGTGCTTTAAATTCAATGATTTTCAAAACGAAAGAATTTAAGGATGGAATAGTATGAATCAAAAATTATAAATATAACCAATAGAGATATCATTAGATACAAAACTTCTAAAACTTCATTGATATATGGTATTTTCGTCGCTAATATAAAAACATACTTTCCAGAAATCATAATAAAAATAGTTTTAGGAAATAACATAATATTGATTTGATAACATAATTGCAAAAAGTTACAGTACGTCACAAATTAGATATTCGGCATATTATTTAAAATAAAAGATATAATTATAAATAATGAAATAGAACAAATTTAAGTAGCAGTATTAAACAAAAAACTGTCAAACAATTTGTTTATCGAATGACTACAATTTTAATCAAGTTTGAATTTCAAGAAAATAATTTTCACAAAAAAAATGTGTTTTTACAGCGTAACAAGGAAGTATTGATATTATAATAATCGAATATTATTTTCGATGAAAAAAAAACCTCATTAACAAAATACGCTAACCTTGGTTTAATTTATGAGTGCGTTCATGTAAAATGGAATTAAATAATTAATAGAAGTTCACCAATAGAGTATGATGCTTATATTATGTCTGAATAATGAAATGATCACTTACAAGACTACTAGCAAATCGTAAATGAAATATTATACTAAATGTACAAGGAAATCATTTCACATGAAATGGTTTTATACATCTACTAAAATTGATATTCTGTTTATTGCAAAATTAAATTATCATTTTATAATGTTCTAGTTTCAAATACTTCTATAGTTAAGTATTAATAAATACATTTACACATTTAATAAGATAAATCTTTTGATACTCAATTCTTGTTCATACAAGTATATTAAACTAAATCTTTAAGAGATACCATTAGCATTACACAAATGTAATTTTTGCTTACACATCATGAAGTAAATATGAATGAGTAAAGTATATAAGATTAACTAACACTCTCCAAACGTATATGAAAGCTAAATAGTATTTAGTAAAATAGAAATTTATAATATTCATTATGTAAAATATTGAGAATACCCAAGTAATACTTTAAGAAAAGTATTATCAGCTATCAATTATGTTCTGTCAACCAAATAACAATATACACAATTTTAGAGGTAACATGAATAGAGGACATGAACATAAATATCATAATTACATAAATGGATTTTGTAGACCATTTTTTCTGTATTAATTTTTAAATGGATGTTACTATGTCTTACCACATATACGTTCGCATTCTTCTTTAGAAATCGGTAAATCCATGTTAGCAGAACAAACGTGTACACCCCCAGCTGTATACAACGGTCGACATGATTTAAAAGGTATATGATAAAACCACGCAGCCTCTTTGTAATCCATAATCGGATAAATAGATGAATTACAATTGGTTATCTTTGGGCCATGACATCTTGGATCTAAAACGTAAAAGCAATTTTCTTTATTTTTATTAATAATTATAGATAACTATAGATAATTATAGATTGTTAGTATCTAATGATAAATTATTTTAATTAATTCAAGTTTTTAATTAAAATGGATTATATCATATAATATATATTTTTTAACTATGGGAAATTTTTTAACCCGCAATATATTTATTAAAAGGCTATTATTAATAAAAATCAAAAAAAAAAAAACTAGAGTATTTGCAAATGTATCGCGCTTTTAATTTTCTTTCAAAATATTCATCTTACAATTGAAATATATGAAATTACACCATTGAACTAATGTTATGTATAAAAACCGTCAATTATTAAATGAATTACCTATCCATCAATACTAAACCATTTAATTAACCACTAAGTGTGTAAAATTGCACTTTAATAATAATAATCTTATCTAAGGGCAAAGGTAGCAACTGAAATTGAACAGGAAAACCATTTGACAATATTATAGCAAAGGACCATAATAAGTTGTTTATATCTTCAAGATTATACATTGTTTATGACCAAAAGACCAAGAACTGTAATAATTCGGCTATAATAAACAAAGTTTATAGTAATAAAATATTAATAAAGTCTTTGAAGCCGTGATTACAATGTTCATTAGGTAACTTCACCAAAGAGTTCCCCAGAAACGTTAAAATTATCTATTAATGATATATCACTTTTAAAAATTAGAAATTATTAAGAAAAAACAATTATCAAATACAAAAATGTTCGTAATTATATATATAACATCATGCATTGAACGCAATAGACTAGAACAATAACTAAAAGATCAAATAATGACAAAAAATCGCGTGTTTATTATCATGAAATAAAAAAAACCTCAACTAAATGCAGTAAATACCGATACTTCTTTTGGATCTGAATTGTTCATTAGCATTTAATCGATTTTCTGTAAATTTTGCTCAGAAATGTCGTGATGCATTATAAATCAAAGCTCATTGGATTGGAAAATTATTGTTTACAGAATATCATTTGCTTTTATCTATTCTATAAAATGTACAACGTCAAATCGGAATAATTAATTTAACAGTCAATCTTTATGTAATAAACATATTATGTAAATGTTTGTTTTCCGTTCGATCAATTTGATGTGACAATGATTTACAGTTAATAAAATATTCTTTCACAATTTACATTATTCTTTTATATTGATATTGGTCAATAGACTGTTGAATATTATTGTCATATTTATTTAATAGTCTGATTGTATCCGTTAAAACGATTTCTAAATACTTAAGGGCTTCATAATTCCTACAAGTTTTTTTTTGATATCACTCAATTTTAAAATCATCAGATTTCTTTGTTTTAGTTTATTCCCTGGTTTTTGGTTTCCAACTATAAGAAATGCTTGTTTTGCGGTTCAATGATTTCATTTACTGCGATACAAATTATGGAAATTACTAATACATAGCTCGTCGCAAGTGCTGTCTAAAATGCACAATGATCAACTTCAGAAGTTACTCACTCGAATAAAAATAATACCGACTATACTTAATAATAATATACCGACTGCAGTAATAATTTATTAGTAATAATATTATACCAACTATAGTTTCTTTATAAGAGGCAGATAATTAAAAAGCCTCGTATTCAACCAAAAAACAGCTATTTTAAATTTTGACATTAAAATAATTCAGGAAAAAATATTGTACAGCAATGATACTCATCATTATAACCATAATGCTTCTGTTCAACTATTTGGGATCGGTTCTGCCTTAATGATTTTACACCGGCTGTCGACCAATAGGGAACCAATATGAGGAAATGGTTTGTGTCACTGTTAAAGTTTCCGGATGGGTGACCATACGGGGACCAACAGCAAACGGAGCAGCTGAATATCCGCGCTAAGGCGGCGTCTGAATGATTTATTGCGACACACCACGTCCCCCATATGTTGCAGCAATTATCATATATTCTTAAAAGAATTTAATTCGTCAATTTAACTGTAAACGCAGGCATTAACCATGGTATTAAAATAAAACATGATGATTAAATAGCTATGTGTACAAAACTGAATATTTTAATTAATCAACAGTAAATACTTTATCTGATAGTAAAAACAACACATAACACAACGCACGTTCCTTTATATTATCTGCGTCATTGGTTCATCTATTATTCAAGTCTGGCGAGACTAACTGTTACATTGGGAGTAAATTATTACTTTAAGGATGGGACATTATAAGGTTATCTAAGCATACACTTTTCTTACCAAGATAGAAATTAAATTTCTTATAAAAATTTACAAAACTTACTTTAATCTTATAAGTGAGAGTGCATTTAACATACAACCGAATAATATGATAAACTAATATTATTATTTTAAAATTAACCATTTATTATTTTAATCAATTGTTTTTTTTGCTTACGCAATGGGACGATAATTATTATTATGAATTGATTACAATAGCATCATGATAATCATATTTTAAGTTTATTTGAGTATTATAAACACGAAGAGAACTACAGCAATGTCGATCTGGCCTAACTGCAATTTCTAAGTCCCTCAAATACTTTTCAATATAGGGATCTATAAATTATAGGCCGTAAAGTTGACTTGATACTATACGCCGGGGGCACAAACAAAAGCCAGGTCAACACTGAACATGGAAGAACTATCCTACAATTAAGAACTTAAAATACATTTCTATGAAACATTGCAACTTTAAATTAAAAATTGTATATTAATTATATAAAGAAAATGAGAAATTGTTATTTTTTTTTTAATAAGAATGTTAAACTACAAATTTCAATTAAAGATAAATCAAAATTACTTTTTCTACTAAGAAAATCACAGCATAAAAAGTCAATGACAAGCAAGACAGTTATTCAAAAATGAAGTTGATTTTTTGAAGCTCGATTGATTTGACAGATGTCTAGTAAAAGACTTACCTAAATTAATTTCCAGTTCAAAATACATTTTTTTAAATCATGGTTCGAGTAAAAGGAGATATCTTTATTTGAATCAATTTAGACTTAAAGAAAATGTCTAAATATTGAAACTATACATAATACAACCAAATGAGCTGCTTGCAATTATAATTAATAAATCACTATTTTTCCATACAACTACTACATCCTGTGGACATAACCATCTGCTTTACAATATGCTACGCGTATCTAAAAAAAATGCATGATGATTGATTTTATATTCTGTATTATTTCATATCTCTATAGAAAGTTTTATAACTGTATATTAAAACGTATCATTATGCCTAATTAAAATATATTCATTACATAAAAACCATATTTAAAGTTATTATGTTTTTAGATTTTATATTATTAATGGTCTTGTCTGACATAAGTAATTAAAATAAATAAATAAATGTCTATTATCTAAACAAAATACATTAAAACGTAGATCATGCATTTGTGAATAAAATAAAAATTATCATCAAGATACATTTACTAAAAATAGGTCAGCCTTAATATTACGAACCTCTTTATAATAGATTTCATTAATTAATTTTCATATTGTCTATTACTCAATTAAATATACATTAAACACTGAAAATTAGTAATCACTCTTACTAAATTTTATATGACAATTTATAATAGCATTACGTATACTATACAAGTGATCATTTTTGATAAATATGAAAAATATTTACTGAAGGACACTTCAATAAAATTACTATTTTGGATTTCATATATTTTTGATAAATTATACAAATAGATCCGAGAGGTTACTGATATCATGACGGTTGTTTTATTCGGTTAAGTATAAGAGATATATTTTTGACAATAATTTCCCCCGGGAACTATTTTCGATAACAACATATGTTGGCTATCTTAATGTTGACTAAACATAAATAGAAAATATAAAATATTTTTGATAAATAAACATTATTAATAATAAGTGTATAATAATGTTAAAGTCTATAACTATTAGGAAAATATAAATATTTTTAGGACATAAATAAATTATTTCACCAACTAAATATCTCTTATATCTTATAATTGGATTGATCTATTATTTGATGACAATATATTTAAAAAATAATTCATCCCCGAGAAAGAATATTCAATATGATTTCATAGTACTTTAATGTAACACTAGATTATGAATTTGACTTTTGATGTGTAGAAAGTAAGAAAAACTCAGTGATTTAACATTTATATTAAATATTTATAGCAATTCAAAAATGTCAATTTTCACTTAACTATCACTATCCCTGGCGGTATTCACGAAAACCCATCATCGAATATTTTTAAAACACATTTTGGTCTGCTAAGTTATTTAAAATACAAAGAAAAAATGTGCAACTACCGATCAAAGAATTATTTTAAAAGCAATTGTAAATAACAAATTCGCCTTTTATGACGAAATTACATTGGTATTAACTGTTCATACACATGCGGCTGTGAAAGGTATTATTGACACTTGTTCGTTATTTGTATTGGAGGTAAACAGAAATCATAAAAGGAAATCTTGTGAATGAGTTTATTGCAGTAATAATTTTAAGGTTATGTAATGCGCGATTTTTTCTTAAAGTTTAGTATCACTTTTATGTATTTTATGAAAAAAATTTGCTAAGCAAATAACATGCGGGTCACATTATTATTTTTGCCATCTCAACGAAAATATCCATGCGAGAGCTAACAGACTGAATGCACTCAAGAGTAAGTTAACCAACAACGCACAAAAGATAAGCCGGTTGAATTTCAAATGAATAATTAATTGTTTTGAAAATACTGAACACGAACAGTCGATGTTATTATTAATTCGTACAAAATGTGGATAATTTTTTGAAATCACGCGAGAATTTTCCAACAGTGGGTTCATAGTAAATGCAAATCGCATTGCCACCACGCGGTATTACGAACAACAAAATAAATCGTAACTGTAGTCACGCTTTGACAATTATAATAATAACATGTTTTATTTTTGTGTTTAGTCGAAAATTTCATCGTTTTTTATTGAATACATTATGAAGTTCTTACGGTCGGACAAAAATTGCACACCGAGCGTCAAAAATAAATACACATTTATGTACATATAAAGTTTACATAACTGATTCTAAGACTAATTAAGGATATTCGGACTGACCTTTGTGAGCGCCGAGTATGAAGTAATGATCGTGTTGACCGGCTTCTACTGCTATCGATACGATAGCAGCGACTGTTAACAAGACAAACCAGGCGTTGACCATGGTGCTTCTATTGTTTTAAACTGTATCAACTATGGAAACAATCAATTTATCCGTCTAATGAAGAGAAATATATGTTATTTTAACGAAACGAGTTCAGAAGTACTTCGAACGACGTCGTGTACGGCACTGACCGCAAATCGAATCAATTAAACAGGTATACATCAAACGGCCTTATCGCTTGTGTTCATATATATTAATATATATTTCCAACATGACTTAACATCCAAAACAAACACATTGTTAATGCGATACACAAAAATATAACTGGCTTTATCGATATTCTAATCATATTGTGTGCTGTACAAATTGAAAAATTGAATGATTTTTGTTGTGACCTAGTATGTCCGCATAAATATATTATTTTAACTTAAGTAATAAGTAAAATAATTGGTTTGGCAACACATTTTAGTATTATTATAATAAAATTATTTAATAATGAACCCTTGTGTTGCCATCGTTAATGCTAATTTACTGGCGCGCTATGAGTCAAACCAAAAAGAATATGTTTTGATGATAGTATATTATTGCACTGCTGTTAATCCAATTGTATATTACCATAGTTTAATAGCACTCCCGAGGAATATTATACTACAAAAATGATTATACAAAATAATACATTTGATCGTGATACTATTCGAGGAGATATATTTTGCGTAGAAATAATAAGTATATTCCATCCTTCCGAGTATTATTACTATTATTTTTATTATTTTCATTATTTTACATACCATTAAAATTGTTATAATTTTTAGGGAGGCTTTTGAAATTTCCATTAGATATTTAATTTTTAGTTTTTAATCGAATTAAAATTTATTGTCCAATATATTGGAACTGTCATGAAATGTAATGTTGAATCAGTAAAATTAAAACGAATTAACGTTTAACATTTTAATGTTTAAATATTTAAAATAAAATCAAATAATGAAAATATTTCTTACTGTATGACAAATAAGGAAAAACATTTATCGGAAGTATTAGTTATTTTAGTCGAGAAATGTAATATATGAGTAGTAAATGTAAATTACACTCTTGTATTTAGAAGCCAAGGTCGTTAGAATTTTATCACTATTGTAAACATTTAAACTAGCCATAATTGGTATATTAAATATGGTGTTAAAATATTTTTATATAATTAATGTAATTAAAATTAATGCATTGACAAGTAGGAAAAAAATGGTTTTTCTTAATTTATAATAAGTGACATAGTTATATGGTCTACATAGATTCGTATTAATTAAAATTATTAGATTGTTAGACAATGGCAAAACTATTCAAACGGCTCATCTATTATTTTTTTTTACTAAAGAATAAGCAAACAGATTATAATAATTTTTTGGTATTCAAAAAATATAATAATAATTATTATATTGATTTATTTAATAATTACTGCAGTAGCATATTTTCGTATTAAATTGAACGAGAACTTTCTTGTTCTAGTTAAAATTATTTTTTTAAATATTTTCTTAAAAAAATTATTTATAAATATTAAGTATAAAATATTGAACGTCTATAATTTTTTAATTAGATAAAAATGCATTTACATTTATGTTAACTTGATATAATACTGTGGTGTAACACTAGTTTTGCCATTAACACGAAATTCATATGAGATCATACTAAATATATCATCCATTAGTTTTATTTTGAAAACGACTATTTTGAGAATACATCTTTACTTAAAATATACTTGATTTTTAAAAGCATTCCTATTTACGTTTTGTATATAATTATTTACTGAAAGTACTCGATTATATTTTCATGTATTTAAATAAAATTTGAATTGTTAATAATCCAAACCGTTCGGAGACGTATTTAGGAATTTTACACCTAGGTAAAAAAAAAAACATCTCAACTAATACTCACAGAAAAAAATGTTTGAAAAAAGATCTTATAACAAAAGATATTTATTTAATCACAGAAATAAGTGAAATAATGTTTTATACATTTTCCGTAGTAACAATAATAATTATTATAATAATACTAACATTAATAATTATAATTTTTTTTATAATCATAGGCTAAAAACACTGAAAAATTTCAACACCAGGAGCATATGCTCCCCTTTGCAACTACCTAAATACGTCTCTGAACCCATTACACGTTTATAAGCAATTGACGTTAAAAAATTATTTTATTTCAATATTAAATGTTGATATAAGATTCCTTAATAAACACATAAAAATTAAAAATAATTTGCGATGAAATCTATTTTTACAATTAAACGTCAATAAATTTTCTACATTTTTCGTTGAAACCAAGTATCATTTTTTCTTTCTTGACATCTGTTTTAAAGTGGCTCAAAGGTACGATTTTGAGTCAAAAACTACAGCCATCGTGGCGTAAAAACACCTCATAGATTGTATGTTTTTTTTTTTAAATAATAATTATATTTAAGGGGTCGACTTGGGTAGAAATGTATATTTCGGCATTCAGAAACTCGAATTCGATACTCAGGGTACCAATGAGATTTTTCTTGTGATATTCTAATTGGTGGTGTTTGGTCTCTATAGTGCAAGGCGATAATAATACCCGTTTTGTCCATCATTGGCTTAGTCGAGAATTATCTTTGACTCCTTATCATGTGACAGAGAGCTATCCATCCTCTATGTCATGTCAAGTTCAGGAAATAGAAAAATGTAAAATTAATCATTTATTTTTTATTCAATTCATAACGAAATTAGTTTATTTTAAAAATTATAAAAGAATAATAGGTTTGAAACATTTTTTATGGGTACCTTATTAGTACAAAAAGAAAAATGAAATATTGAAGAAAAAAATATCTGAAGCGCAATTTATATTATTTATAATTTTTATTTGACAAAAAAAGTGTACTTAAAAGGTTAACGTATCTCATATAAAAACACAACATCTGAAACTATTTTAAGCGTGATAGAATAAATTACATTATAATGTTATTAATAACATTTTATCGAACCTTGTATCTTAATTTATGTTCTGAGAATCTTTTGAGAAACTTTTGCCTCAGAATATTAAATTCCAAAATATAAAATATTGTAGGAAGGTAATTTAGAAAATACAATGCGTAAACATTGATTTTTAAACAAGGATATTATAGAAATATTTTATTAAATAAAATGTGTACATAACAAAAACAATAAATAAGAAAAAGTCGTCGCAATGTTTAAAGTTGAAAACTTTTTTTTAATTTCTAACTTTAATAGGTATGGCTTAAATTACTTCGTTTAATACCTTAATGACAAAAGGCAAATATTTTAATAATTAATAGAAATAAATCACGTGGTATTAAAAACTGAAATTTTGCAAAAAAATGCATGAAAATTATTAGTCCTTTACTAAAATGATATGGATGAACTAGTAAAGTTAAATGAGCATAGCTAGATGCAAATAAATTTACATGACTAATTCAAACTAATATAATTTGTGATTTGATCAGATCTTTGGATTAAATTATTTTTAAAACAAAAATAGCTATTTTTATTTGGAAATTATTTAAGCCAATTGTTCTATATTCTTTTTGAACGAATCCTTGTCGTGTTTATCAACAAATCGACTAATGTTTATCTATTATCTTTTTGCTTTCGAACATATTTTGATTACTAAATCTGCGGGACCTGCATGTTTCACATAGCCACCATGAGGTACTCATAAAGCAATGGTTAAGTGAATTCTAAATAACACACAGAACAAAGTAATACTTCGTGATAAGAATAATACGGCGTCATTCAAAGTAATACATTAACAGGGCCGATTCTATAGTGTCTGATCGTAAATCTGGCAAATATAGTACTTATAATGCTGGCGACGAGAAAACGCGATAAACAGTCTTCTCGAGAGGTACGTGTTCATAACGACAACAGCTGCAGTGACGTGCAATTGAAATCGTTTTGGCACACGCCACGCATCGCTAATATTCCTTGTTAGACTTGGCGGAAGAGAATACAAAAGCTTCATGAAATATCTCAGATGATGATAAAATGTGTGGTGTTATGTCTTCCTTGTCTGACTAGGACGTGCAATAATGTACCTCCATCGACAGTTATCTTTTATACTAAGAACTCATTGAGATATTCTTTGTACCGGTTTTTAAGCGAACTGTATTACTCGTTATGAGTACAATTTTGAGATTAAAAAGTATAAACTCTATACACCAAAACAAATTACTTGATACTATAATATTCATAGAGTTCTGTTTCATACAAAATANTACCGGTTTTTAAGCGAACTGTATTACTCGTTATGAGTACAATTTTGAGATTAAAAAGTATAAACTCTATACACCAAAACAAACTACTTGATACTATAATATTCATAGAGTTCTGTTTCATACAAAATAAAAAAAAAGCAGTTTCTCTAGAAGGAATTAATGGATTTTATAATTCAACATGTCAGCCAAGTTAGAGGGGTCAAATACAATTCCATCGTAACTCTCGGGTTAAAACTACGATTCAGTCGATGACTTATAAGTTTTTAAATTGACTACTTATAAAAACGTATTAACGAAGAAGGCATACAAATTTTTTAAAAATTACTTTTTTCGCTTTTGTTATTTCTATTATTAATTTTGTATGATTATAATTTATAACTCATCAGCCTTATAATTTCCTAAAATTATTCATTCGTTTTAATATCAACTTGTTTAGTTGATAATAAAACGACAGATTAAGTAAACTTTGTCGGTACTAATTTTATTGTAATAATGTATTTATATTGTTTATTTGCCCAACATAATGAAATATTTGAGTATTTTATTTTGATTGGTACACCAAAAAATAATGAGGTTAAATAAATGTTTCATTTATGGTGGTGATGATTAAAACTATTTCAATTTAAAAAATTATGATTTCCTATTTAATTTCTGTACCATAATCAGATTATCAAATAACACATTTCTTGGGGTTTTGCATTTTTTGAAATCCGTTAAACATTATTAGTGANTCTGTACCATAATCAGATTATCAAATAACACATTTCTTGGGGTTTTGCATTTTTTGTTCGTTTATCTAATGAATTTATTTTAAATTTAATGCGGCTATTTTTAATAAAATAATAACATTGATAAATGATAGTTTTATCACAAATTAAATATTCATAAAACGACTTATAGGCTAAACAGATCAATACTAATTCAACACATAAAATTCAATCAAGTTGTAAGAGAGAAACTTAAGGAAATATTTGAATTAAAGTTTGTTATGTTTTTCAGATGTTCCTATTCCATTAAGTACCAATGAAAGAAATTCGAAAGTTACTAAAAGCAAAGTAAGTAAATATTATAATTTTCTCATTAAAATGTATTATATTATTTTAATAAATAATTCTCTGTGGAAAAAGGGTAAACATACTTCCCAAATTTTGTCAAAAATGATAGAGATATTATTTTAATAAATCTTTTATTTTAATATGAAGAGTTTAGAATCCCTATAATCCAATCTTTTAAGTATAATTTTTAAATTAAAGTTTAATTATTTAAAAATTAAAACTGCACAACGAAGTAACACGTGTAGTTTTTGGTATGATACTAATTTATTGTAGCTGATATTGGTATTAAATATAAGTGTGTCAAATTTCATTTTTACACATTACCTTAATTGCGTACATTATTATAAAATTGATAAAATTAGTGACTTGTGTTTTTCTGAAATGACCGATATAATAATTGTATATATCAAACTGATAATATACAGAATGTTTTGATAAATCTAAAAACTTTGATATAATGAATATTTTGCGTTATATTTTTTTTAAATCATTTTTAATAATTTAAGATTATAAAAATTTATCAGAAGTAATATTTTTTTAATCTATTGAAGAAAATAAGTTTTTTATATTTCTTAAAAATTTTAAAAGAAAAATCAAAATAGCCATTTTTTTAAAGTGGATTAAAANCATAGTAAAATTAATACCTTCTCCGCTTCGCATCGAAGCTAAAAATGATAAAATGTATCTTATTAATGTTCAATAGCAAATTTTCTATAGTGTTTTAGTTTATGAAAATTTACATGCATTGATTAAAAACAGAAAAAAACGTCTTCTTATCGTGTTAACTTTTTGTTAATCAAATTTTCTTTATAATTTATTCTATAAATCCCTACCTTAATTTTTCTTTAATATTTTTAACAAATTAAAATAAATTATTTTTCAATAAATTAAAAAAATATTAATTTTGATATTTTCATAATACGATGGGTATAATAATAATAAAAATATAATAATTTAAAATATTTAGTTGATTAAAAGTAATTCGATTTTCAAACAATGTGATAGCTTGTATATTGACAAATTTAACTGCAATAAATTAGTAATATTCTACAGTTCATGATTATGATTAAATCGTTTTTATCATAATGAGATTTTGTCGGCCATTTTTAACTTTAAAAAATTAGAATGTGTAACGTAGAAATTAACTTTGTCTATATTCGATAACATTAATGTTTTTAAATTTGGGACTTTTTACATAAGTTTTGCAGAATTTCAATTGTTTGTAATTTTAGTTTTAGATAAAAATATTTCTCCAATATATTAATATACATAGTCAAAACATTAGGGGAAAGAATATTGATTTTATTTTTATGATAATCTCTTAAATTTTTTTGTTAATACAATGTATATTTTTGTTTAATAACATATATTGCATATCTCTATATTTTACATGCAGCAATAAATAAAATATAGATTTGCAATTTCTTTTAATTTGTTTACTATCTATGCTTTTAGTGTAATTTACTGAAGTTATTATAAAAAAATACAGTTGTAAGAATATTTATCTTCCCTAAAATCCTTTATAGCTACTTATCTATACGGGCTTTCTAATAAATATGTTATATGGTATTGGTAGATTGGTATGAAACCTTCTTTTTTAAGGCAAAGGATATCATAAATATTCGTATGAGTCTATGGAAACGCATTTCACTCGCACTTTTTGATGCACGAGGGACCATTCTGTTTTCTAGAAAATAACTTTCTGTAAATGGCTGATACAAAACGACGTTTGCGCTTAAATTTGTCTTTAAAATAGCAAACCATTAGCTTCAAGCTACAAAGCTTTTAACCGTGTTTAATTTGCTTAGTATTTAAAAAATACTATTTTAAAATTACATTTATCCTTACAACTAAATCATCTTTATTTTTTTGATAAGTCAAAATTTAAAATAACATTATTTCATTCAAATATTATGAGCTAATTAACTTAAAATACATTTTATACTTTTTTAAATTTAATCCTATTAAAGAAACATCTGTTAATTAATTTTATAACAACTTTTAAGGGAACCGAGGTGGATGATGACCTTTTAGAGTTTTTGGTTCGTATAGCAGATAATCCAGAAGAATGGAATAGAATTCGCCGTGTTTTAAGTAAGTCCCATTTTGTTTTGTTTTGTACTATAATATTACATATTTAGGTCATGTATTATTAGAACTATTTATAAATTGACGGAAAAAAAATAAAGGTTGTTACTAAAACTTAAAAGGCCATCAAAAAATATGTAAATTATGAATTCACAAAATAAAGTTCTTTTAACTCACAAAATTTAGAGATAAACATGAGAGATTTAAAAAAATAGGTAAAAGTATCTGTCTGATATTTTGAAAGACTCTAAACCTTTCACTTACACAATATAAAGTAATACGAAGAAAATATTTTGTATAACAGAATAGGCATGGACATGTTATTTTATGTGAGCAAATATCACCTGCCTAGGATTTGTCGTTTAGATGATGTGTAAAAAAATGATTATTATGGGTTCTATTCCACAAGTCTGTGTATCTTATTGGCTCACGGAATCATACGTCAATAACATATAAATTCGATTTTTGATGACTAGATTTTTTGCAATTATTTTTATTTTAAAGGTTTGAGAACTTGGACACTACTAATTTGGTTATTTTTAGTTCATACATATTGAATGAATAAATGTAAAACGTTACTTGCCAGTTTCTATAAATATTTTGTGATAAACAATAAAAGATCATTCGAGATTAAAAACAAACAAAATTATTGAAATTTAGTGTAGTTATATTACTTTAAGTATTCGTTAAAAAAACTTATCTATTTTTAAATTTGTATTAATGTGAAACCANCGGCGAAAAGAGAAAAACGGGAATTTTAAAGAGGAAAAAACGCAATATTTCTTCCAGGTGGACCTTATTTAGAGGGGCTGAGAAAATAGTATATAGAGCGAGATTATATATTTTTAGATTTTTAAATGCATATTTCAGGTTTTTTGGTCATTAACATTCAAGCTTTACTGATAAAATTGTGGTTTGCTATTTACTTTACTAAAAGCATGGATCCAGCTTTCATTTTTAACTCTAGTGATGAACAATATTAGATAAAACAAAATAGTGTAACTTTATACAACAAATTTAATTAACATACTATGATACGGGTAACCAAAAGAAGGTTAATTACCTCTGCCATCCATCTAAAAGTCCAACTTGGATTCGATAATATTTTGAAAACTATAAAACTTTCAATTAAAATTAATATTAACATTAACATTCATTAAAATTAAGTAAACATAGAATAATATAGACTATAAAGTCAACATGGTATAACGTTTAATTGAAACAATAGCTAATATGATACTTAAAAATTATATGGTAAAGAAACTTTTTAATAGAATACTTAAACATGAGTATTAATTATACTAAATTATGGAAAGTTATGTCATCCGATTGGGTATTGAAAACAATAAAGTCTTTTAAAGTAATTACAAAGGGATAAAAAATGATTGTTTCATTTCATTAGTGAATGAAATATTCATGTTAAAAAGTAATTAGAATCATAATACGTATATTAACAATTATAGACGCGATACGAGCGTGCTGGTACATACCTGGACACTACCAACAATTTTATGGACACAATAAAACATATGAATTATTACTTATTTTATTATTAGAACCAGATTTTGGGCGATATGGGGGCAGAAATTTTGAGGGTTTTAGTCTTAACAGGTAAACAGTAGTATGAAAATTGTAAATGTACAGATTAAGTTTAACGTCCACTCTAAAATTCTTTGTTGTGCCAGAGAGGACAGAAATCTTGCGTCGAATAACATAACAAACCTCGTTACCTACATACTGAGGTACAATGCTGCGTTACAAATTGAGCTAGATGGGCCACCTATATACAGAATAATGAATTTATCACGAAACACTTAATTAATAAAAAAAAGTGTACACAGCTACGAGTTACAGTGTGCCAGCGGGCTTTTTGTCGGCCTGCAACAGCAACGTGGTTTGCCGCTTGCATAACGACATAATCGCGAACGCATTCTCAGGAATACTGAATCTGAGGAATACTCAGATTTTTATCAATTAATAACAGTACCATAAGAGTGATTAATATATCATTTATTTATTCATGATATTATTTATGAAGACACGATATTTTAACTACTAGAATAATTCCTAGATTATTTATTAAAATATTTTACAATACTATCATAATAATTTAATTAATTTATTTTTTATTTTGCAATTAAAATAGTGAATTAAATAATTATAACATATATGATAATTGTATTGAATCATAATATATTATATATACAATAATATATAAAACAATTACAAAAAAATATTTTGAAAACAACAAAAAACTATCATTAAATTATTTGATTTGAGCGGATTTTTACTGATTTTATAATGTTAAATTTTACATATTAAACTTTTTTCTCAAACTTTAAATTTTTATGATGTATAAAGTAGATAATATATATCTAAAAAATTAAAAAAAAATTTTTTTGAAAATAGGTCCCCTAACAGAAATACTGCACCTAGAATACATGTATTTTTATAACATTTCTTACTTTGTAGGTCTCTAAATCCCAAGATAATTGTTCTAAATAATTGAAATTTATTCGAAACATAGATTATACACTATGCAATACCACATATAAAAATCACCATAAAATAATAACTTCTTAATGGTTTTAAGTGAGCTCAAAAACGCCAATTTTCATAAAAAAAAGCGCCATTTTTAAAAAGTCATTAAAGTTTAGAATTTCACCTTATTCTTTTTTAATGAAAATTTTAAGTTATAATGAGGTCAGTTTTAATTCGATTGAGTTAATATCGAATAATTTATGTGTTTTTTAACGTTCTGGCTATTTTTAACATTTTTTACATTGAAATAGCCATAAAAATGGGAAGGTTATAAAAAAATTTTTTTTATTCTAATTATAACATAAAAAATAAACCCTGAAAATTTAAAAATAATATGAAGTTGCCGTGCAACCACTTCTGGATGATTTTCCATGGATTCACCCTCTCTAGCGTAGGCTAGAAGAAAGAGAAAACACGTGCTCTTCACACATAGACAAAATTAAGTTAATTTATAATAAAATAATTGATATAACATACGTCATTACATAAATACAATTATAAAAAAGAAAACGATACCCGGTCTCCGAAGAGATCCACCCGATAGTCTGGACGTTTCGCCGTTGGCGGCTTTACTCCATATAAAATTAACAAAAAACATGTGCACTCTAGTGTGGTCAATGATAGAAGAATATTGGCTTTTCTTCCACCCTTAGATTGGTATTAATCTAATGGCCATTTTAAAATAGATAACGGCCAGTCTTTTTGGAAAGTATCAATACCGATAAACAATTCGATTTTAATTACATTTATTCTCTGGTCGCCTTATCTAGCGGTCAGTGGCAGAAATAATGAATTGTTGATATCACTGTCAGAAAAAGGTCAATTATTTTCTTCAATAAAAAAAAAAACAGATAAATAGACATAACAAAAATGTATAATTCACCATCGTATTTGTGATGTTACAGTGTTATGAAATTTGTTTGCCCCTTCTGTTTTAATAAGCCTTTAAAAGATTTTTCCAGATTTTATAGATGAATGAGAACTTATAATTGTATAATGTTATAAATAAGGCGTACTTTGCGTATATTTGCTGGGGTATTTGAATTGTTTAAAAGAAAATTTGTTAGAACTAATTTTATACAATTAGATCTACAATTTTAGTTTAAATCATTTTTTTAGTATTATTATTATAATAATAATACTGGCGTGCAATCAGTCAAACTCTGTATAATTTAGATATAGAGTGCTCCATTAGTATAAACATTGTACTTTTCACTAGTAAAACAAAATGACAAAAGAATACGTTATTTTATAATTATTTAGAAAATGTTCGTGTTTCAATATCCTGTTAATTGTTTTAATTTCATAAGGTATTTGTCGTCACTTTTTCTCAATTCTTGCTTTACCGATTTTTCTTAATTATACATCAAATGATTAGCTATTACAAGAAATTATCATTAAATATTGAAAAATTTGTTCTCGTTTTCTTTAAATAAATCAATAATTTTAGAAATCACATGAGTTCAAAAGATAAAATTTCCAGTGGAAAATAACCTTCCTCAGCTTACAAAGAAAGAGAAAAAAGCGTCCTTATATGCATGAATACTTTAAAGAATTCTAAAATTAAATTGACAACATGATCGAAAAAGTTTTTACTAATATATTATTAGAAATACATGAAGTTTAAGTCGTTGGACTTACCGGGTTTCTCATATAAATGACGTTGGTTATTCAAGTGGTTAAGTGTGTTTATCTTATTTATTACGATTGAAATTCGTTGAGGTTTCCAACAGACATGCATGCAACTTTACGTTCATATGGGAAACACATAAATTTTTGGCTATATCTATAGTGGATGGCAAATAAAAAATGCTATTTGAGCGAGAACGAAGTTACATATCATCGCTTATACCAAAACAGTATTTATTTCAAAATTTAACTAAATGAGATTTTTACCAGTAGAGATAAAAAGAAGTATTTTTTTTATAAAGTTTTGTGTGAGACTGGTAGTCTTATTGATAGTTATAGAAATAAAATTACCTCTTGTATTCAAATTTGTTTTTTGATTATCCTGGAAATCCAGAGAAACCGAGATACGCATTATGTTGGCAGTATAAACAATGATATACTAGTAGTTTTATCATAAAACTGTATCTTTACATTGGGAATTGAAAATAATAATAAAACGATTTTGGGCAAAGAAGTGACTTATGGACTTTTTAAATCACCTATTTAAAAGATAGTAATCCATCCAAAAATAATGATTCTTGAAAATATGATGATTTTATATTATGGCGTAAAAGAAATCTTATGAAAGAAACACAATGTTACGAAATAATTGACTTGTATTTTGTTTTGAATTCATAAACTTAAGAATATGATCATGTATTCTAAATGTTAAATTATTTTTTTTGTCTTAAATAAACGTTGAAACTCGACAAATGACATTTTTACTAAGTTAATTTAACAATAAAACGATCATAATTCAATCAAAATCTAATATTAGCTTTAAATTAGATAAAATC